TCGTATGACACACACACATATATAAGTATAAGTATATGTATAAGTATATGTATATGTATATGTCTATGTCTATGTCTATGTCTGTGTCTGTGTCTGTGTCTGTGTCTGTGTCTGTGTCTGTGTCTGTGTCTGTGTCTATGTTTGTACGTACATATATATATACACATATATATATATATCATATCTGACATCTACCCTATCCATCTGTCGTTCGCGAACTGTCTATATATCGATCTATTGATCTGTCTGTCTATCTATCTATCTATCCGAATTATGCCTGCGTACTCCCCAAACAGTGATAATGTCAACTCTTGATTGGAATGCAAGTGGCTAGCAGCAATAGCTGCAGCCGCCCGCGCTCTTTTCCCGGGATTCAAGATGCAGAGAGAGAAGGGAAGAGGGAGAGGGGAGGGGGAGGGGAGGGAGGGGAGGGAGGGGAGGGAGGGGAGGGAGGGGAGGGAGGGGAGGGAAGAGGGGAGGGGAGAGGGGGAGAGGAGAAAGGCAGGAGGCGAGGCGGGACGTGAAGCCCTGGCTTGTGCAGCGGCTCCCTTACCCTGCAAGAAGTCGGACTGCTCTATGTATGCCGCACGTGCGCACAGCAAGGAGGATTCCGGCGCCACGGCCCAGAGGACTCCGGCGCCAGGCCCAGGGCGAAATGACTGTCCTCCGTCGCCGGGTAAGGAGGCGATATAGTTGCCAGTAAGCTAGTGCCAAAAGCGGCCCAAGGATCTGCTTCATGATGTCCCGCTTGGTACTCCACTGGCGGTTGGATTTCATAACCGGCCGGCGTAGTGTTTCCGGCAATGGGCGCAAGAGGATGCGCTTGGCTTAGGAAGCCCCAAAGTTGCTGAGAGAGGACACGGCCCGCCTGCGTCCTGTCCGAGACCAAATTAGCCGGATGGAGAGCCAAACCACGCCCAGTTTTGCGCGGGGCCCAAGCACATTGTGGACCACCCTCGAGGCACGTAAGGCCTGTGCGAACCCAACGGAGCCCATGGACACTATGATTCTCTGCCGAAAAATCAGGCTCGGGCAGCCTCCATGCAACGCTTGGCCTCCAGAACCAAAGGCGAGGTAGGGCCCTTGCGGAATGCCTGAGAAGGTGAGGGGAGTTCGAGGAGAGGGTCTGGGGAAGGACACCATCCATGAGCGCACCAGGGAGGATATGCAGAAGGATATCCACTTGCTTGGCCTTGGCAGTCGTAATGCGAGGGAACCCAACCATGGCAGCGAGTGAGGAAGGAAGGTACAGTGGGCACGGGAGACGGAGCCAAAAGGCTGAGGAGCGGAGAACAGAGCGGAGTAAGAAGAGGGGAGGGCGCAACAAGGCAAGGATGGGGGAAGAGAGTATGACCACTACAAGCACACACGCACATACATACACACATAGAAACAGCAACACCCACACACACACAGACAAAAGCAGCCGGGGCTCATCAATTAGTATCGAATGCTCCGCCGGATGGCAAGTCTTAAAACCCATGCCGCAGCACCGGGAAACCTCTGTGATGGCTGCAAGCGGGCATCGCGTGCCTCTTGAATTTAAGCCGCTCTGTGTTGCTGGAAACCCAGCCCACCCATGTAGCACCGTCATGCCCGCTGAAAGCTCGCAAAGGTCTCTGTCCTCATGAGTCTAAATGACAACTTCAAATTGCGCACCAAAAGACTGCATTGCAAGACATGGAACTGGCGACTCACATCAGGACAAACAAATGAGATGAAAAAACACGGGACGTTTCTGATGGCGGAGTAATGATCACCGGTTCGCTGCGAATGTGATGGAACAAACACAAGCTACAACCAAGAACTCACCCAACACACAAGCTCCCACATTACTCCAGACCACAACTTACAGCCCCGGAGTGACTCATGAAAGCGAAAGTATGCCACCGAGTGTGGCTGGTCAAGAGCTCAGTAGAACAAATTGAAACCAAAGGACTGCCGCCTGCCGCACCAGCGGTTGCAGTGAGCAGAGAAAGGGGTGCTCATCGGAATGAAAAAAAAACCTCCCTTAGTCCCGCCCCCGGGGTCCCCCAACAACTCCAACTCTGGCAAACCCACAGCAACAAAGCACGCTAGGCCCGGGGGGAGTAACCCCGTGCGATTAAAGGCATCCCGCGAGGGCCTCGGACCTGGCTGAAACCATGTTTTAAAGGCGCTGGCCTCTTCCACCAGAGGCCCCCCCTTGGAACAAAAAACCTTGCTAAAAACCCCCCCGACTAATGGCAACCTTCTTCCCCAAGCATCTCCAAAAAAACACTTACCAGTACTGCCCTAGCTGCCCTACAAAACCCTAGGAGTGTTGGGTGGCAAGCCCGAAACCCCGCCAAATCTATTTGGGGGTCGGATAAAGCCACCAGCTGATCTACCTTGCGGGGGGGGTTATTAATCAAGAGTTCCGATTAAAGCACAACGACGACCAAGACGCCCAAGATGACCAGGACCATCACGGCCACTGCGACCAGGCCGACCACGACGACAAGGACGAGCAGGACGATCAACATTTTAAAAAAATAACGAGAACGAAGAGACCACCAGGAGACCGGATGCGCCAGGAGACCAGACAGAAACCACCAGCACCACCGCGAGACAAGCAGAAGACGCCAGGACACACCAGCACCAGCAGAACCGCCACCAACAACAGTCCTCCCTGTCTTCAGATCAGATTTAGCGATCTGCGGGCACTACCCCAAAGATTTCGGCAAGGAGTCTGGAGTCCTGGAACTTAGCTCTCCGCACATCCCGGCTTGCCACCGAGCCGATCTTGCCGAGCCTGCATGTGGCAAAAGCGAAAAGCAAGTAAGCTAGGACAGCTAGGGCGCAGGGTTTTGGGTCTAGTGAGGGTTTAGGATGTCGGTTTAGGGATAGGGTGCAGGGTGCTCTATGTTTTCTTGCCGTTCCACACGGGGAATCCCTCAGTTGTACGTTTAAGGTCTCAATACTTAAGGGTCATATACGAGGGCGACCTGATGCGCCTTGGTGTCTTTCCTAGGGTTTTTCTACAAAGAGTATCAAGAACACTATGACAAACACTAAAGCTAACAACACCAAGGATACTAACAGTAGCAATGTTGATAATCATGATAACAGTAATAATCATGATGATGACAAATATGATAACCATCAAGATTCAAAACAACCATAGTCATAATCGTAAACGAGTACCAATAATCAGAACGAAGAACACTAGGAACGGAACTAATCATAGTGCAACATAATAGCAGCAAGACTGGCTGCGGCATTCCGGGATCCCGGCTCGGCTGGCCCTCCAATGTGACCCTCCTTCATGTCCTTGGGCTCGCTGATGAAGTGGGGAGGTGTCAGAGTCCCCAAGGTTTCAGACCCTACATTCATGGGATCCGCGTGAGACGTGACGCTTGAAAAGGGACCCCCTACCTGCACACGTTCCCAAGACTCCGAGCTGACATGTGTGGGTTGGTCGAACGGGTCTGGAGGGGGTCATGTGAGGCCAAATCGCGCGAGCCTACCACAATCACGACAAGTACCCATGCTCACCATACCATGGTGATGCTTCGACCGGAATGGTGATAATGATTCCAACCATGAAGATGAAGATGAAGATGATGACAATGAAGACAAAGATGAAGATGATGAAGTTCTTGTTGTTGTTGATGATGATGGAGATGACGATGATGGTGACTATGACGATGGTAGTGAGGACGATGATGACGATGATGATGATGATTCTGGTGATGATGATCAGACAAGTCCTAGTGACACGGATGCTAAAGCATTCATGCACGCGGGTTCGCTGCCACCCTTTCTTGTCCGGCTCGCCTTGTCAGGTGGCAAAGTTCGGGGAAGGCCATACCTGAAGAAGAGATGTTCATGAATGTTCATGAACGTGACACGCTGCATGGGTGCCAAGATGCCGAGTCCCGAGCACTTCCTCGCCCTGGCAAAACGGGAAACGGATTTTTTCTGGCTTAGAGTTATTTTTGAACACCTTGTTCTTCCGCCCAATATTCTTGAGTAGCAGATTTAAGGATCAGGGCTTAGGGATTTTGGCTTAGGGCGATGCACTGCAGACTGTCCAGCTCGAAACCGGATCACTGCGCCCTCAAAGCCTCGCCCTCTCGCGAAGGGTCGGCTGCGTTGCCTGCAGGGCGCGTAGATACGGATGCCACAGGGAAAAGGCCGCATGAATTGGCATCCTGACAGGCCCAAGAAACTTCCCACCTAGTGGACTTGCGAACTCTCTTCGTTGCGCTTCGGGACCATTAGCTTTGCACGCTTTCTCACAGCCACGTGCTGACGCGTTGAGCAGAAGACACTGACCCGATCCCGCTGCCCCACAAACACGGGAGGGGGGAACCTGTCGCCCAATCTGCGAAGAAGTTGATGACCGCTCCGGCCTGCCGCTGAGAATGCTCAAAGTTGAGGACGGATTTACGAATTAGCAAGGCCCCTTCGTGTCATGAAGAAGAAACACGCTGAAGAGCAGTGAAGCAAAATGGTCCTCTAGCGAACAATGACAGCAGTAGCAAGTGAATAGATACACCTGCTCCAGTGATTCTAGTCGCTAGGCAAATGCACTACAAGTACGAGAAATGGAAACAGCGCAGAACGACAAATAAACAAAATCCGCCACAAACATAACAAGCGTTCGCATAAAACAAAAGAAATAGAAATAGTCGCCAGCACATGAAGAGCAAATACACTTTACCAGGCACAGGGTAATAAAGTTCCATACAGCCAGAGTCGTCAACGATCTACCTTCAGTGACGTCAGTCGCAGCACTTATCATCGCAATGCCAAGAAGCAGTCGTTATCACCATCATCATCAACTTCTGCTCAGTTCTGTCTTTGCGCAGCCTGAGGGGAGTCGTAGCCGTCATCGTCATCATCATCATCATCATCATCATCAACATGACCATCATCATCATGATCAAATCTCTAGCTATACTGCTGCAACTTAACAGTGCTAACAGCAATAAACAAACACAGGAATATTCACAATTTTATTCATGCAAGCGGAGTAGCAAAAATGAGAATACCACGCATGTCCATGCATGATTCTGAATCCTGATGATACATATTATGACACTCTGGCCATGAACATCGGTCGTTTGTGGCGGAGCACTGAGGCAAGGTTCATCCCAGCCTCCTGCAGTCTTCTGGAGAAAGTCGGGGCAGCTGGCATGTCTGCCCCGCCTGAGGAGGCTCCATGCCGACAGTCTACAGGAAGCATCGAGGAAAGCTCGCGTGAAGTCTGCAAGCGCCCCGGAGCTGGGCACGGTGATGATCATGATCCCATGCGCACTGGGCAATCATGTCACGAACCACAAATCCTGTTGATAAACCACGAGCAATTCAAGCATGTCCAGCAGAGCCTGTGCTAGAGGAAGAGAGGCAACAGGGGCTCATGCTGCCGCGTCCGTCCATGCGCACCTTCGAGGCGGCGCGCGCCTGTCAGCAAGCACTTCACATGAGGTGCCACTAGGGTTCAAAAAAACTTGAAGATGCACATGAAAACGGAACAGGACCCAGCCACCCCCAAAGTCTGCACCTGCTGCGCCAGTTGCTGTGCGGCTTCGAAGCTTCGCTCCATCTGCTGGGCCACTTGGTGACCTGCTTCGAAGCACCGCGCAAGAGTCACAGCTCGCCGAGTTGAGTCTTCGTACTGGGGCCTTCGGGCACCCAGGCATCTCCCAATGAAGAACAACTAGGCAGTGGTTTGTCTTGCGAGGCACCTGCGACGTTGCTCACGAGGCCAACCAAGGTATCGAAGTGACTCGGGTCCTGCAGGGCTGCAGGTTTGCCACTGCGGCGCCATCGCTGTGTGAGAGCTGATAATCCTGCACAGCCTAAGCCCCAAAGCAGCGATAGCCGAGCCTCAGCTCCACTGTGCTCGGGAGAAGCCTGGCGGCCGACAACAAAAGCGGTAAACCAGCACATGAGTTGCGTGCGAACAATGAAGACAATCCTTGACGATAGCACACGATGAGACATGCAGTAGCTTCTGAGCAGCTACAGGATCACATCTGTCAACTGTCAATTCCCACTCGAGCAATATACTTCGCTTCAAGCAGACACAGGCTAAGACTGGCTCTGTTGGCCGTCTCTGTACAGTGCGCTGATACGCGCTCGGCGGCAGCACTGCCAAGAAACTCCACCATGAGACTGTACACACATGCTGGAGAGTGCAACTTTACATGGGGTGTCTGCTCGTGCTGGAGCTAGACGCACGACGTGCATGGAGTGTCGCCACCACAGCCTGCAGGTTGACGGTTGGGAAGGAGAGGGAAGAGGTTACCGCCTGCCGTCGCAGCAGACGGCACGAAGTCTTCGCCCAGCACGGCATCATTCATGAACGCAAAAGTCTCCTCGGTCTTGCGGAAGAGCTCCGACAACAGGGATGTGTCAGGGAAGGCAGCAGAGAATCCACCCACTGTGGCCAGCTGTTCAGTGGGGCTGTAGTTTACCCACCAGTGCACAGTGCCCTGTGGAAACACAAAGGTGTCCCCCTTCTTCACATCCATGGTCACCAATTGTGTAGCATCACCCGTGTTCGTCCGGTAGTAGGACACCTGGCCCGCGCCGCTGATGACTGTGTTCCATTCCGCAGCGTTTGGGTGAGTATGCGCAGACACGATGCCGCAGTAGGAAACTACGAACTTCACCAGCGATTTGCCTCCTGCAGGAGCTGACAAATGGCGGGGTCTTGAAAGAACACTAAGAACAAGAAGAAGAAGAAGAAGCTTCCACGAAACAACTGCAGTAAGCAGTCCTGCCACATTGGTCAGGCCGGGCCAAAATGCAGGCGGCGGAGGACCGCCCCCGTTGGCGGTGAAGGACAGGCCTGGCATCCAGCTGAAGCAACGGAAATGCGGCACGCTGGCATGCTGGAGACTTGCTCATTAGATGGCTTCTTCATGTTACATGGATTCAGCAGCCGCATCCCCCGGAAGCCTCCATCAAAGCTGGGCTGTGAAGATGCTATGCCAGCCACACCCTCGCCTGATCATGTGACACGAAGCGATCTGGGCACTGCCACGCCCATTCGATACATTCTGCAGTCTCTGCTGCAACCCGGGCACTGCGACTGGCGACCTCTCCGGCCAGCGGTCGTAGTCCTCAAAGGCGTGAACTCAAACTTGAGCGTCTAGGAATGCAAGGAACAAAGGATATCAAAGGATCACAGTCCAGTCCTCCTCCGCAGGGTGGCTTGGGGCATGAGACAGGGGTGTCTGCTGCCGTCAGCCCAAACTTCCCCGAGCGTAGCTCACCGGGCTGGAACATGTTGGTGCCGCTCGGATTCTTCTGGAAGCTCTCTTTCCCTGCCCGCCGGTTGCTTGAACGTGCTGCAGCACAGGCTTCAGGAGTAAGCTTGGGAAACAGAGGGCTCTCTTTCTCGTTCAGCGGCACTGTGTTCTTGCGGCCGCTGGACCGGCCAACCATGGTGTTCAGCAACGGCATGTCCTGCATCAGGGTGCCAACCAGCCCGACACCGTCGTCAAAACCCACCAGTGCTGTGTCGGGATCGTCGGTGTTGAAGAAGGCACCAATCGTAATGAGAGGCTCCTCACCCAAATTCACCCACCAATGGTAGGCCGCCTGTGCAAAGAAGAAGGAGTCACCTTCACTGACTTCTGACAGCTCAAGCTCATTTGTGTCGGTGGTGAGCTGCCCAATGACTCCAGCTCCACGGATCACAGTGTTGATCTCCACGGAGTTAGCATGCAAATGCGGTGCCACTAGGCCACACGGCTCGACCAAGAAGGACATTACTGTCTGTTGCTGCTTCTTGAAACCGGCCAAACCTGGCTGGGCATTGACACATCCTCCAGGACCACGGGCCACTTGCTTCGTTCCCTCTCCAGGGACTTCACAGCTGGACTCATACAGGCCATGTGCTACAGTCACATCGGGCTTGGGCAGCAGGTGTTCTGCATCGGGACCAGCAGCACGACGCCCACCGCGGAGCTCCTGTGCCAGGATGCCGTACAACGAGCCTGAGTAGCGCAGCGCGCACAGTTCGAAAGCAGGTTTTTCAAGGATACCTCATCAGGAAGGTCTTAACCCAAGCCGGGTAGCAAAGTAAAGCCAGCACAGCGGTCTTCATGGGCACCAGAGTCAAGGCAAGCCGACCAGAGCTGCAGCGCTTCGCGGCAGGGACTCGAGCCGATGTTGGCACATCCAAGCTCCACCACTCGAAGCATTGAGAAACTTCAAAAGCTGAGCTCCGCCTCGCCGTCCGGCCGCGGAGCTCGCATGGCCGGCCTGAGCGCCGAGCTTGCAAGGTGTGGAACTCAACAACAAAACAATCCTTCTGCACCAACTCCTGTTCAGCGTCTGCATGTTACCTGAACGAGTGGGGTGGCCTGACAACCGTGGTCGGGCTCGGCTGCCTGCGGCGGGAAGCACATGCTGAATCGATTGATTACCCAACAGTTGTAACGACTGGGTGTCCGGGCTCCGCATAGCCCATCCCCGGTCCTAGCACAGACGCTGCTCCTTGCTTTGGCTTTGACGATGCTGCCGCCACCAGGCCTGGAGCTTTGGGACTGGAGGATGGACTGTGGCGCAGCTTCGGCGGCCTTGCATCGGCAAAGAGGCAGCAGGGCACTTGTGGTTTTGGTAAGGTGGCATTCAAAAAACCTTGCAGTCTGTGAAAAAGGTGACTTCGATTCTTGTAAGCACACTGGGCTGCAGACGACGACTCCACGGCTCGTTTTGCCTAAGGGCCATGTGGCAGCCAGCACGTGGCTTTGCCACAGAACAGACATCCTGGCTAGTATCACAAACTGCGTCTCGTAAAAATGGGGGAAAGGCCAGTTGTGCCGCCCACATGGCATCGGGCAGCGCTTCGGCTTCCGCCTTGCTCGCAGTGGTTGCTGGGTACTGAGTACTACTTGCCATTGAAATTTCGCTCATCTAGGAGTCCAACCCTAAGGCTCAAACTAAATGTGATCTTGCAGAAGGCCAGCAGAGGTTGGCTGTACCTAACCATACGCCTGGACTTTACCACCACGAGCAACTTCTGTCAAAGCTGAGGTTGCTCCTGGCCGCTGACCGCTGACTGCCACTGGTGGGCTCTGTGCACCCTCTGAGATGCGGGCCACGGGGTCACCGGACATGACCTCTCGAACCTTGGGTCAGAGATAGCATCGGAGTTCAGTACTACGGAAGCGCCGTGGCAGCTGGGAGACCCACCCATTTTTGCAGCTCTGCAGCCTCCGCGCCGAATTCGGCCTGTTGCAGCCTGCACGCACCACGCCCTCCGCCAAGAATTTGCAAGCACCTACCGAACCTCTCCGTGCATGCTTGCTTTTGTTACTTTTCTTTGTGGCAAGATGTGGCAAGACATCGGCACAGTCTGAGCTCGGGGCCCACCTTTCTGAAGACCGAAGGCCCATGACAGTTGCACCTCAGACTCGACAGTGGAATCCTATGAGAAGAGAGATGCCACACTAGCCTGACTAAGAAACCTGGCGCTTTTGTTGGGGTTCTGGATGTGGATCCTACTATTTCGGGGGTTCTGTGAACAGGGCTTCTTGATCAGGTTCCTACAGTATATAGGCCGCCTCCGACGGCATCGACGCAGATTTCACATCGCATTCAGCTGGGTGCTAGGCATTGACATCGCTAAAGGGACCAGAAAGGTCATCGTCCTTGCAACGCGCTTGGCTTGCACTGCTGCAAACACACCATGGGAGATGACGGTAGGGTCGGATTCTGGCGAAGTCCTGAAGATTTTCTGGCATGGTCGGCTTGCCGCCTGTCAGGCATCGGCCCTTTCATCACACGACACGAGTCTATGCCCTACACTGCTTCTATCAACGAGGCCATCTCCCGATTGCCTAGACTTTCGGCAGCAGTCCATCGCCGCCTCTTTGCCACCTCAGAAACCGTGCTGGCCTACATGTAGCTGCGGTAGATCGACCGCGTGTCAACGTATGCAACTTCGAAACATGCAGCATGGAAAGCCTTCAGATGCTGGCCTTTCGTTCTTCTTTAGCACGGAAGATGCTTGACAGCAAGTTCGACACCTGCGAACAAGGATGTGGCCGGTTTGATCTTGGCAAGCCAGACGTGCAGCACGAGTAACAGCCTGACTAGGCAAAACCTTGCACAAGAGATGAATCGCACATTGGCCGCCAACGGTCATTGACCTCTATTTCACAACTTCAGCCTTCTCCCTCTCTTCAGCCACTCAAGACGGCCTCCAAGTGCTCCATGTCACTCAGCAGATTGTCGATAAACCATTCCTGGCTTTGGTGAATAAACAGTGAGGACAATGCTCTTGAACTTTTTGCCAAATCCATCGCAGTCCTGTCTGCCCTTGACCTTCCTCTGTGCTCTCTCCACGCGCCTCAGCGAGGTCACTGCATGTGCCTGTCTACCGGTGCATTCTGGGGTGGAAAACTGGACATCCGCTTTGAGGACCTATTCCTATGCAACTGCACGGCTTTCTACCGTGCTCCCAATTTGTTTGCCCTAGGTGCGTTGTACGAAGCTCTGCACCTGCTTCGATCCGTTCCAGTGTCACAACAGCGATGCTGAATGCGGCGTGGCAGCTTGTGGAGGCGGTCCTGCTCTTGGCGTAGCATCGCCTCTGGTTGTCGACATGGCTCGTTTGTTATCAGTGGGTATAGGCGTCTAGAACTCCGGCCGTTCAAAAGCACTGCCGGGAAATCTTCGTGTGCACTAATCCATGCAGCCTCTCGAAGAAACTGCAGTTTCCCATGCTCGGGCTGGCCTGCTCCTCTTCAAACTCACTCAACAAAGATCGCATGTCCTGGGGCCAGGCACGCTTCTTGAATGGATCTCCTGATCGCTCTGCTGACTACTTGCAGCTCGGCAAGATGTCTCAACATCCTTGGCCCTTGCCTGCCTAAGCAACATAGACGAATTTCCGAATAGTCGAGCCTGACAGCTGCGCTCCAAGCGCTCGCAGGTCACCTGCATGAGATACGACATTGCCATGCAAACGAAAAGATGTGCGGTACAGCACGCCGGCTCGTGGACGGAGACAGCAGTGCAACCCTACTTGCAAGGCTTTGGATGCTGAACTTGCAGCAGCACGAAGTCAAGAACAAACAGCAGCAGCTCGCCGACGAGACTTCAAAGGATGGATCTCGAATCCTCTACCGACTTCATGCCAAAGGCCTTGAGATCCTCCAACGGCATGGAGTTCAAAAGTCCCGCCTGCGCCAGGCAACAATGGCAAACTCAAACTTGCAGCATGTTTCCCGGCCTCATTCATCGCTTGGGGCATGGCAGCTGCCGTGGCACGTTGGCCCAGGAAACTTCGATACTGGATGTGAAAAGTGCCATCAAGACTTCCTGACATCATGCATTCTGTGTTTTTGGTCAACTGTGCTGTGCAGACTCTTTGGTGTCAGAGTCAACCAACGCTGTTGGAATGTTCCCTGAGCCAACATGCAGAGCCCAAACACATCGATAACAGTTTTGCTACTAAGCAGTGACAAAGCAGCCGCGAGTCCAACAAACAACGACTGACAAAATGCGAAAAAATGTTCGAAGTTGTGGCGAGCGGTGTTGCTTGCTCGTTTTTACTCGCTGGGCTACAAACGTCGGTGCGAAGCATTGCGAGCCCAAGGCTGTTCTCTAGGTCGCACTGCTCTA